GTAAATTGTCTCCTTGTCTCCAGGATCTGCCAGGGGTAGGGACGTATACACTGAGAAGTGTGGCATGTTGATGGTCACGTAATTGGAGACGCATGACGATGATGCGGTCGGAGTGACCACGAAGCCAGCGTCACAAACATGCCTTTCTATCTCCGATTTTCCGGACCAATAAAGATTGAGTGCATGCATGCTCTCTTATGTTTCCTTCCCCTTAAAAGCGGGCTTCGTTAAGTGAATGCATAAGCAAAATAAGCAGCCGTGCTATTGCTTTCGTTTTGCTTATACTAGTAAGAACTCCTTTGTTGTCAGACTAACGCCCACCCATGATAAATATCTTTTGGAGTGATTTTCTTCCCCTTGGAGATGGAATATGTTATAAAAAACCCATTTTCTGAAAGCCACGTGGAGGTTGCTCCATGTATTTAAATGATGCGCACTTGGTAAAAGGCCCAAGATCATCTTATTCAGCTCAGAACCCACTCCCACGGGTAATTTTATCTTTCTGTCATTGCTCAGGTCTATGGACCTCAAGTGTTTCAAGGGGAAAGAAAACTCTCTTAGAGCAGCCATTGGAATTCACTGCTCAATATAACGGTAGCCCTCATAGACATTGTGAGCTGATCAGCTCTTTTAGCCTCCTTGTTGAACGTTACAGTAAGAAATTTCTAAGTAAGACTTTGTGTAAAAAGATCTAGTTAGGTTCTTACACTGTACATCAATGTCCATCACTATGGAGCCCACTCCACAAGTGTTGTTTGCAGTGCACCTGTATTCTCCAGCTTGAGCTCGGTTGATGTTAGTGATGTTCAATGGGTTTCCCTCGATGTGCTCACCAGTCGCGACATTTGTCCACAATACAGTTGGATCAGGATTACCTGCAGTCACATTACAGTACACCTTAACGTTATCACCTTCTTTGACAACTTTATTTTTGACCTGCTCCACAGACGCCGGGACTGAAAAATACAATCAAATGTAATTATGTTTCACTTATGTTTGTCTTTTGCAGAGCATCGCGTACATTTAGGTAGGTGCTTCAATGAAAGAAGAAAGATTGATTAGCAGACTTTTGTAGACAATCTGAATCTTTGAAAATCCAGATGATGCAGATATGAAAGGACGTGCGTTACAGCTGCAGCCGGTAAATCCTCCCCTACATCTCAAATCTCCCTCGCATTTTCCAGGATCTTCTTAAAAATTCCGACTCCCCGCTCGCTTATACATGATTAGTCTTTTTATTAGTCATGGGATACTTGAATAAAAATCTGCGATTAACATGCAACGTAGTTGAGTAAATTCAAACTCACCATCAACAGTCAAAATAGTATCACCACTCTTTCCAATTCCTTGGATAGAATTATTAGCCTCGCATCTGAACACAAACTGGCCAGCATTTTCCATTGATTTTTTCCAGGTTCCTGATATTCCCAAATTCTTAATTACGATGTCATTTTCAAACAACAAATAAGTGTGTACTGCTGGGTTAGCTTCAGCAGTGCATGAGAAGTTTACAACAACTCCTGCATAGACTTTGCGTGATGTATTTGTCGTTAAGCGGACATCTTTAGGTTGATCTACAAATAAAAAAGCCAAGAAATTAACCTATATAAACGTCGATTTTTGTTTTTATTGTAATCCACTATCCCATAGAGAAAGCCGTCATTCATATAAATATGTTTTTACATTACGTCATACTTTGCTAATTTCAAATTTTAAAAAACTTGATCAGTTATCTCTGGAACAAGAGAAGATCAAGGTAAGAGAGTGAATCTCTCATATAGGCCTTATACTCAAGGTAATTCCTCTTAAGTTATTTTTAGACATAGTACCCAGTTTTTCCGCGGAATATAATAAGAGGGATTACCCTGAGTATGAGGCCTATCTGGGGGATTCGCTCTCTTACCTTAATCTTCTCTTACCCTGGAACGAAAAGAAATATTTGAAAATAGTAAACAGCATTTTTCTTTTCGTATACACTATTTTTTTGTTGTTGTTGTTTTTTTTTTTTTAACGCCTTAGATAGGACAGATGGGAATTTCATCAGCTATATCTACATTGAATTAAGCCACCAGATACCCAAAATTATTGGCAGATGAAACAGTTAAATTTTTATACACAGCTAACCGCCATCACAAACGTCACAGTGCATGTAGTCACAAAATAACTAAAACTGATTATGACAGAGATTTAAAAATCCAGATAAGTGCAACCAAACAGAACACAACAGGACGACTTGGCAACCTTAGCAAGCGAGACAATATACGATTTTCTTTATAAGGTCTTGTGACATGCTGTTTTTCCCATTTCATTAGTTTTATGTTACCCATTATGTAACGTTAATCTTTTCATATTTGAGCTTCCGTTTCGTTTCTTAAGTGTCTCTTTAATGAGCTAATTATGCAAGTTAGGTAAAGTCTGCATACGAGTCAAGTGGCCCATCATGCCGGAGCTTATCCCGGTTTCTGTAGCATGAAGCGACCAGGAGTATTTCTACTCCCCCCTGGATGGGATGCTAGTCCATCGTAGGGTTACCCCCATCATTAAGTTCGCCGGTACCCATTTATACACCTGGGTGGAGAGAGGCACTGTGAGAGTAAATTGTCTTGCCCAAGAACAAACCACAATGTCCCCGGCCAGGGCTCGAACCCGGACCGCTCGATCCGGAGACGAGCGCACTAATCATGATGCAAGTTCAGTAACGTTAATTTTTGACATAACCGCATGACCGCATGTTTAAGAAGAATAAAGCCGCATTGTAAGTGGCTTGTTCAACAGTACTAAAATCACGCTACCCACTTAACCTCAGTCAGTATAAGTAAACCATGTATAACTAATCTCATTGTTTAAAAAAGAGGCTGAGATCGGTTTAAATCAATTTAATCTTAGTAATAGACTAAGGGATTACACACAAAACCAAAAAAAATAATATTACAATTGCATGAAAGGAGGCTACAGAAGTACATAATTACTCAATTTACATGTTTGTACTTACAAGTAACATTGACATAAAGTACATGGCTCGCTGGATTTCCAATCCGTTGTAAGCTGTACAGCGGTATGTTCCAGTAGCAGTTCTGCTGATGTTTACAATACCCCAAGGGTTTCCAAGGAACACTTCATCACCATCTGTACCATTCTTTAATACTCTGGTCCAAGTAACGTTTGGAGTTGGTTTACCAGTTGAGTCACAAAACAAAGTCAGATTTGAACCTTCATTGACAGTCTGGTCACCACTGGGACTGCTGGTAAAACTGGTTTCAACTAAAAAGAATGCAATGAGGAGTCAATCCAGCTGCAGATATGTTTTGAAAAGCACATGGATACACTAATCTTAATAGTAGACTTAGTGGTGAGGAAATTAGATTGGAAACACTTTTTCCTTTTTTGATCAAGAGAAGAAAAGATGTGGGCTGAAACTAATTTATACCTAAAGTTTTTACCCACCCATGAGCATGACAAGGACGAGCAAGCAGCTGATACTCCCAAAATGAAATGTGCGGTCTAAAAAACCGAATGACGCTAAAAAAATCCAAATTACAGCTAGATGAGTAGATAACTTATTGTACAAGACCAAGGTAGTTTCCTTCGTCATCTTATCCAAATTTGGTGACGTTTATCGTCTCTGAGAAGCCAAACGTTTGGACACATGAATGATGTGTGATCTAACGTTCAAGTACTTATTACACCACTAGCTCAGAGCGGCTCAAATGTCTCGGTTACACAAAATTTATACTGAAGTCAAATTATCGAAGGAAAGCCCTCTAGTTATGAAAGAAAGACGGCAAGAGCTAAGCAAAGCTTAACAGACCTTAGCAAAGAAGGAACGAAAAGAAACCTGCGGTAAATTTCAGAAGACCTACGGAGATAAATCATGCGCTAAAAAAGTTAGGTTAGATTCTCAGTGATAGGGTCGTGGAAGAACGTCCTTCAGTCCAAACAGTAGTAGATGCTGTGGTGGCAATATAAAGTAAAAATAGGTTAAGTGGGTTGGGGTGGGGGCGGGGGAGCGCTTTTCCATGCGACTGCAGAAGCCAGTTAACATTTACCTTTGAGAAACAGCTAAGAAAATAGGAATAATTAAAATCAGTTCAGATAACATGGGTAGCCGCGAGGACCATTATCAGCTGGATTGCAAAAATATAAACAGTATTGGTTCTCAACAACGTTTTGAGCATATT